AATGAACAACAGAATGTAGATTGTGTATGAATCAACATATTTGATTTGATTTATGTGCAAGTAATTTTATTTAAAGAGAAGTAAGTATACCTGTAACAGTACATGTAATGGAGCACAAATTAACGCAACTTTCCTCCCTTGTTTCAGGCATATAATTATGTAGCGTTTTCCAACGCCCTAATATCCTCTAAAATCATCAAACTTCGTTCAGCGGTTTACAAAACAAACAAAATAACAAAGCTACTTAAATTAAATTATGTATTAGCTACAACAATAATATTTACATTAAAACTACACTATTCGAAGTAATGAACTATCAAAACTAATCAAGGTTGCATAAAGTCAAACAACCGGCGCATTTAAAGCGATTCATTGAAAATGAAACCCCATTTGGCTTTATTAAAAAGATTGATGGGATGGCTACCCAAGAACGATTTATTTAAGTTAACCGAAACCGTGTTTCGTCGAAAAACAATATGGTTTCATTTGTTCTAAATAAAACGATTTCTCACAGTAGCGAGCATCTCGAATAGTGTTGTGATTGTAGCGAAACTCGATTAAGGACTAACTGAAATCTAGTACGTATTGTAGCTCTGGAAAATGAACTAAATTGAGTTCCCATTAGTGTGTTTTCGCGCACATTCTAGGTTTTCAACAGATATTTTCTATTTGGAACTGTGAGATCGTACCTACTTACGTCGGTATATTTATTCTTAAATATTATAAGCTTACTAGCCTTTGTGCTAATGTCTGCTATTTGTTTTAGGTATAAAACTCATAAAACTCTAAATAATGTAATGGTGATGAAATCGGTCGAATAGTTTCAGAGCCTATTCAATACAAACAATCAAATCATTTCTCTTTACAATAAATCTACGCTAAGATTTATTTTTAACTTCTTCTGAACCTATCACTTACAAAAGCGCGTGGATATTTGAATCTAAATTATAATTACCTTGTTCAAATTTACTTAGTAATGGATACCCCATTACTAATTACCATCTTCTCGATTTAAAAGCAACGGCGCATCACTAATACCTTTGTTATAACAACGGCTTGAGTAAACAAATTTTAGGATCCTTTACGTGCATGTGGTGTGGTGTTACTTTCATTTGTTGTTTTAACAAAACAAAGCAAACCTTCCCTGAACACCACGTGTGACCAAAAGGTAACGACGGTTATGTGTAAGTTGTAAAGGAGAACATTATGGCTTGTTGGAGCACGCACAAGTAATTTGTGGACTGGAAATTAGAAATGAAATATGAACGTTGCTGGGATAAAGTTCTCGTGTTCTGTGATGTATTTAGGACTTGTAGGGACGTTGCGTGATCGTAATAATACGTTTTGTAAAGTAGAATCGTTTTGTCTTCTAGTTTCAAATTGGGTTACATGTAGATATAATTGCGTAAAGCATTTCATTTTCCTGTCGACACAATAATTATCTGTAACACTATTCAATTCTGATATCAGACTAAATTACCGTTCGTCTGTCCATCGGGAAAACGGACTAATTCACACAATACAGTATCACTGCTATGCTTGTGTGGTAGAGTTAAGAATCGGTCCTATTATATTCAAGTTTCCAACTCCACAATACTCAAGCGATATCAAACTCGGAATACATGGGATAATCTCTACTTAGTAACAAAGAAACAATTTAATTAATTACTCCACTTTCCGAATACCCGATGCTTGCCGGAGCAAATCAAAGTCGACTTCAAAACAAGATTCGCATAATCGCAATTGATTCCAAACGACACCCGGCTTAGTTCGAGCACCAAGTGACTTAGGCAAAAAGAAGTGGGATTATTCGGTAATCTTAGAAAGAGACGACGAGACACGCGTCTCGTCTCAGATGGGCCACATTAAACCCACATTAGCTCTCCATCGATTACCACTTGTGACAATTTTGTTTCGCCTTTGAAGACGTCTGGACATAGTACAATTTTAAAAGTAGATCTAAAGATGATCGACCTGAAATGATGATCTATCTGAAAATAAATAAATGTCTACGCCGTAAAAACCTCTAAAGGCGTGTTTAGTTTATTCTTTTGAGCAGTAAGTCTATAGACAAACCTGCCAATAGGCCAGCCTCTCAATGTCGATACACACCTTAAGGCTATCATAGCTGGATCATGGATAAGTATGATATTTTGATTATTTAAATATTCAACCGTAATAATGGTTGAAAATCTCGTGCTCATCATACCAACATTGGCCCCAACAAGAATGGAGCCGTCAACCGTAGCAGCTGACGTTGTTACCCGGTATGCGAATCACTAGGTTAGGCGACCGTCGGTTGTCACAAGTATGTTTTACTGTTGTCTTATACTGTGGCTTGTCAAAGGTCTCCGTGGCCATTTCGGCGCACGAGCTGCGAACGTATTATTTTTGCGGGTAATGATGGATGGGTAGGCGGAAATTAGTACATTGGTATTTGCGGAGCGATATTACTTTTGCTCGGCAGGTTTATGTTGGAAATAAAAGGCTTCGGTGGATAAATAGCATCCTCTGATGATGATAAATATCATGATCATGAATTGCGAGTAAATACAGCGAGTAAAAAAATTAAATACTTAAAAAGGGCGTGCCTAATCATTTTCTTGATCTAAGCTCGCATTAGATCGTGGCATTTCAACTAATTGCGTTTTTTTGGTGTACATGCAAAAAAAGCATACTCGTGTCTATTTAGATTAATGTTTACTTTGTAAAATGGAAGCATAATACCACGATAATTTTAAGTACCGAACAGCAAATAAACGTTGCTTTACACGTGCGATGTCCTACGAAAACAGATTTAGGGCGCACTTGACGGGCATCGAAACAGCTTCAGCACAAAGCCATGAAAGCGGCTTATTTCACAGAAAGGGGATTAGAGCATAATCTGCAACGGAGCGGTTGACATACGCCCGAGGCGCGCTGGCGAGTCGCTGGCAGTTTGCTGAGAGTAAATACAGTTACTGTAGTGATGGGATAGTATGTAGTATCCCAGTCGGGAGTACGTCCGAGTGAGGACTCGACTTGCAATGTATTTACAAAGACACCTCGGTTTCCATTCTAGAGTATGCTATGTGCTAGTATTCCACTTGAGAGTCTGTACCTACGTCGGAATGAGTACTCGACTTGTAGTGTATTTCTTGATCACGTTTGGTCAATGGTCTGACTAGCTTGGGGCATAAGCTAGTCTTGGGTACGTTTGAGAGACTCCAGTAGCTCAGTGAATGAGGAGAATGTCCTAGACACGTTCGTCATTTATCGAATGGTTTGATAGTGTTCCACTCACACAACACCCTTTAGCAGTTTGCTGAGAATAAATACAGTTACTGAAGTGATGGGATACTACCCCACTCGGGAGTATGTCCGAGTGAGGACTTGCAATGTATTTACAAAGACACCTCGGTCACTCGGACGGTTTCCATTCTAGAGTAGAGATGGGCTTCCAGACGGGTGCATAATTATTTGACTACGCAATTTGTAATAAAAGTATTTGCTAGACACGATAGTAACTCATCGGACGGTTACAGAGGGTTAGTGAAGTGAGAACTGAACTTTTACTTAGTGTTCCTGTTCCTTTTCCGTCCAGTAACCCGTACAGATATGGGCACCTTGGAGTTAGGTTGGAGTGAATATTCAATTTGAATTGTATTTATAATTCCTAGACACATTAGTCACTTTTTAACAGTTTGAAAAGAATATAAGCGTATATTCGAGTAGGTACATAATGTACATATTGATGGTAGGTACTGACTGATCTTAATATTCTGAACAAATCTTAATTTTCTCATTATCTCCAAATTACGATTACAAAACCTAATTCTGTCATTCTTAGCACAACACTATTATACTCTAGTAACGAGTCGAACGTACACTTGCAAACCGCTAAGTACGGTCGGACCATGAATGAAAATGTTTACTAAGCTCAAAATTATTTTACAGTCATTGTTAGTCCGGCTGAGTCGGGCTACGGCGTCATTATAGTGCTAAACAGCGCCAGTTCAAATGTTATTGTAGCCCTAGATTATATTTAAGTGTTTAAACTACGCAATAACGGTTGTTGCAAGTTATATCACGGTATAAACAGCTTTCATATTGCGACATTTACTAAAACTCTAATAACTTAGAACAGTCTGATGTCAAATTATCAATCGATTCCAAACCTTTTAAATTAGCAAATAATGCCGATTTAGGATTATCTGATAGCGATTAGATAACAACACATAAAAAAGTAACTACAATAATGGCAGTAGATCACGAAAATAGAATAAAATTTATAATCGTTTGAAAGTACTGAAATATTGTCGTCCTGTAAGATTCACCTAAAGACTAAAGATCGAATAGGTAATTATATCGTTAGTATGGGATACCATCATTGCCCGCAACCCTTTATGGTGTGTGCCTGTGATTCTGGTTACCGTACTCTACGTACTTAACTTTAACCAGTAAATATGTTTCATTAGCTTTGAACCTTATTTCTTCAACATAAAGTTTATAGTACCAGTGGCAACAATGCAGCCACTATCAAAAGGGTTAATATTGTATTGTTCCCGTTGACATATCGCCGTCGCGGTGACGACCCTTTACGCATTCAGGGGTGCCAACGCTAGAGTCACTTTAGAATGAATTCAAGGATGGCATTCATCCTAGATAATATAGAATTTAGTAGACGCACTATTCGCTGAATTTTGTCTGAATGTTGTTTAACCCTTCAAGCCCTGCGAATCGAGACACAGTAGAAATCAATTGTTACGCAGTCTTATGCAATTTCTTGGGTTAAAATGGGTTAATATTCAAGAAACTTGCAATAGCTTTGCGATAGTTAATTGTTCTAATGTCTAATTTAAGAAATTACACATTTCCAATTTTAAGTTTAATGGATATAACGTTAAGATAAAAAAAAATGGTTGAAATAGTTATCCCGTTTTAGACTTCCACGAATCTTATCGTCATTATCTTTGTAAACGACAAATGAGCTTACAATCTATTTAAAGATTATTATTTACCTTATGACATGGTTATGTTCCAGATGTTCACCAATCCTGGAAAAGGAAATACAAAGGTCAAGGATCGTATTGTTGGACATAAATTGAGGCGGTTATAAAACATGAATAGAGTCGATAAAAAAGAGATAAAAATAACGAGTGCATTCCGTCAATGTGACGAGGAAGGCATGTGTCAAGTCATTATCGGATGATTCACAGAGTCACCGACGCTCATAGGCTAAGGGATAAGGTGCAGTATTGTTAGCAGTGGTGCATTTCGTTCTTTAAAAGATATACAGAAAAGTGTCTTATTCTATTATAGGACACTAAATATAAATATTTTAGGATACTAAAGTACAAAACTTAACTAATACTTAAAATAAAAAAGGGTCTTAAGAAGATTCTGACGTAACCGTGCGTTTTAGACTTTATTTTTGGGTACAATAAATTCTGAAATCAAATAAGTAAATTACTTTTGTTAACATTTTATTCGCATTTTCACTAAGACCTAAATGGCTACAATAAAGCTAAAAAAGGTAACGAACCAAATAACTGTTGCTATTTCCAATACGTTGTAAACTTGACTGAAATATATTCTTTTATTTTTATTATTATTTATATTTATTAGTTTCTCAGACTAAACATTTCTGTACCTATCAGGTCTCGACGTTAAAAAACAATGTTTTAATAGTAGGCTTTAAAATATAATAAATGATGTTAGTTAAGTACCTAGTCCTGCGACGTTGCGCTGTTTTACAAAATGTAACCCTGTACTCTACTTCTAATGCTATTGAGCCGGACAATGGCTCTTAACCTATAAAAGCTTGACCACTGGTCAGTGCCAGAATTGGCCGATAATGGGACACCCACATGCGGGAGTATTGACTTACAATAAACGTCATATATTTCCTAATAGACCAGTATTTGAGTCCCAACTTACGACAAATCAATTTGAGTACTGCGGTTACGACATTAAAGGCGGGTCTGGGTGAGGCTCTAAAGACTCTGAAATAGCGGATTATGACAATCCAGTTTTTCGGGACATTGCAAACGGGATGTTCATGTGAACGTTAAATTAAACTACGTATACTACTAAATGAGATTCAGGGAAAAAAACAGTTCCTGCAAAAACAGGATTTTCTTTATGGAAACAAGTCTTTATACATAATAGAGCGTTAAAAAAAGAAAATTTCAATTACCTTTATAAGGAACCGATTTACGAAAAAACTGGGTTAATTTGATGTCTGAGCGACAATGACAATAGAAGTTAATCCTTAGCTGACAGCGAGCTTCGATAGAACATTAAAGTAGGTCAACAGGTAGGTAAATAAATTAAACAGAGATATAGAGACAAATTAGTTTTACAAAGTAAACAACATTACGCGTGGAAAATAAAGATGATGTTTGGTGGCTTCGGCAATTCATCCCAATTTACAGTTTAGATTTTTTTTTCAATAATATTGATTTCATGTTCCTTCAGTTCAATTTTCACTTACATCTCTTTTCTTTACAGGTAATTTATGAATACAAAAGAAGAATAATATAAAAAGAAAGAACTATTAAAGAAAAATAATAAAAAAAATAAACCTAATCTTAAAACGTAAAACGTAAAACGTATATTTCTGAAATAAAAAAAAAACATTAAAGAAATTATAATTACTTTACCCGCTACCGCGTCCGTTCTCGAGCTTGCTTGGGCCCAAAAGGGGAAAGTGGTAACTGTTTTATTATCGTGTCATTACTATAACAGGCTGACAGCGACATCGTAAATGTTATGAATTGGAGAATATTCAATAATATTCTGCTTGAGGCATGTGAACCAGACAGCGGGTTGGTATGTTTTGTTTGATATCCACAATGCAAGTGACTAGTGTAGGTAGATAGTATCGGATACTTTAGTTATAGATCATAGTAGTAACATTACAGTAGTATATATTTCATAGAATGTCAATGTGACTTTTTGACTGTAAAAATATTTCTAACATCCTATAAAATTTAAATAAAATATAATTAAAACATCTTTAATTAAAAAAATGTCGTCAAGTTTTGTTCTCAATGAGCCTTTTGTTGTCATGATTTTGTCACCTTTGTCTGCTGGTTTAAAAATAGCGACTTTTTTGTTGTGGAGGAAATGCTTGATCTATACATAGCTCTTGTTCTAAGTATACCCATAATTATTATGGTCCTATCTGCTACGAGACTGCGTGGTAGTTTAATAACTTAGTATTGTGCTGATATCTAGATGTTTTGTTACTAATTCAGTCCCTGCAACTGCTCAAACAATAAAACAATTAACTTGAAAAATGACGCCACTTAGTCGCCAAACACTTCAATCACGGTTGAATACTAGATTGCTATCGGTTTATTATTCATTTCCTCTACCTCCCAGACTCGCATTAGCATTTTAAATTACGTAATGAATTTACAAGGGATCGACGAGCCTAAAGGACGCAGCACACCTATCAACCCGAAAAGGGATCGTAACCATATGAACTTCAGGTGGTCAGTATTCTTTGTATGAAACCATACTGCAACATAAAGTGTCCGCACTGTAACGTTGGTAACGTAAACACCTCGCATTGGCTTGACAGCTCGCGAAAAGCGATGACATCTCGCGAAAAGCGATTCAGTCTTGATCCTTTTCCGACTTAATAAGTGAGCTACGTCCTTAAGCCGAACATGCGGTCGGAAAAATTAAGTATTACAAGATTTGGTTAAGTGAACATGCATATTCACTTTGTAAGCTCCCGCTTACAGATGCCGATGGGTTATGTAGGCGTGCGGGGTACAGGTAAATTGCCTTCACTTTAGCCAAGCATTTTTACAGACATTTTTTATTTGTAGCTAGTGTAACTACTTGTTAACAATAATTGGCTGAAGTATGTTTTTTATAATTAGGGACCTAAATTGTGCACTTCTGACTTTGGAATATACTTATGCAAGCTATTTGACTTTGGTTCAGTTCTGGTAGGTACTCTAAGGGCTGGGTTGTGCTATCTTACTTTAACTTTATCAAACGTCAAAAATCTGTCAAACTCCATACAAAAAGACCGATTATCGTTATAGCTACTGTTAAAGTTAGGTGGTGCAACTCAGCCTTACGTGTTTTTTCATTCAATATTGTTAGTACCAATGAGAAAGATAACTAAAATCGCACGTAATCGGTTGGTGGAATAAATCTTCTGATCTTTTTATTTTAAGAATTTGTTACATACCAAGAAGTCTAGTTTAACAGATTTTAGACGCAAGTGTCTGAGAAACAATCTTCAACTCTTGTAACTTCTTAGAGACTCTTGTATTAGTTAACTTCTTTCTACATAATTACGTACCAATATATGTAAACTCTGAGTTGCACCACCTAACTTTGACCGTATTTATAACGACAATAGTGTGCCTACCATGAGTTTACGTTAGGTGTGCTCGCTAGCGACTGCGTAAGAAATTGACATTTAAATGTATGACATATTGTGCAGCGCCCCTAGCGGCTACTTTCAAGAAATAAAATATTCATAGAATTTTTTGACGTATTCGCTAGCGAGCTCACCTAACGTAAACTCATGGTAGGCACACTGGTGTTTTTGTATGGATTTTGACAGTTAAAGTTTGTCAAAGTTAAAGCAAGATGGTGCAACCTAGCCTTAGCTTATAATCGCGATAAAAATTTACCTTTTTTCACAATAGCCTAACACTTATCTGCCAGATCCTATCTGTATGCTAATGCATACAATTACCAATATCAGATCTAGGTACCCATCAATATCTTTTTATAGTCGCTGTCAAAAGTATCACACTTTAATTTTAACCACTCAAACCATATTAGTAAAGTAATTAGTCATAGATGACGCCATCTTGGAATTTAATTATAGCATACTATTTTTTGCGGATGTCAATCATCATAGATTATATTTACATAACAATATTAACGGGATAGAGATCAATCTTTCTGTTTGATCTACAATTGTTTGCTTGTCTGTTTCTTTGTGTCATATTAGTATGAAGTTTCTTTTGAACGTCAATACCCGCCCACCTAAAGAGCTTTCATAAGATAGTACAGTGAGGAGAGAAAATAAACTGATTGTTTTAAAGTTGCGTGATTGATTTAAAGTTGATTCGATTTGCGATTACTGTAATTTGTACACTGATGTTTGTTTAGGTCTATCTTTGCGGGGATAAATGGAGTTAGTACCTACCAATTTGATTACCAAATTGAGTTCACATGAAAATGAGTATTTTTGGCTCATGTTTTATGTAGATTTTTTACAAGCTTCATCCATCATAGAGAATTTAATCAATCTAAGAAATTTAATCAAAGCCACCTAAATATACCTACAATTTTAGGGAACGGGCAATGTCTAACGTAGCAGACATTTTTTTTTTTCAAGTCAATTCCAAGTATCTCGACTATACGTCGACTGTACATCACAGTTAAGTGTTATTAAACAACCAAATAGCCACATTAATTCAAGACAATCTCGCAGCTCGACTGTACACCAAAATAGACGATAACCATCAATAAAGCGTTTGCTTAGCGACCTTAATTCGCCACCAAAAGCACGTCAGGCGGCTGACGGCACTACAATTACGTAGCGAGCCAGATAAGCTTTTTTTAATTCCAGCCAGTCGGTTTTAGAAGCCTTAGGCGTACACTTAAGACAAAATTTAATTTTGCTATAATGTTATAATTATGATCACAGTTTTGTCGAATTTTGAGGGGTGATGAAAAACTTATTATAGGATACTGAAACTGTTAGTGGTGATCGTTTTATTTCGCGGCAGGCTTAAGTTACCTATGTAGGGATACAACCACTTAGTAAAAGTGCTTTTTAAAAGCCTACTTGCAAAAAAAATAGTTTTATGAGTTTTGTGTATTCTTATAAGTACAAGAAACGGCTTAAGATTCCCTTAGGATCACCACAAAGCATGGTTGGCTCCTTTTTTATTCAGTCACCTCCAGGTATTATAATTAGGTCTTTTTTGAGGTCATGTGATCTCCATTTAAGAACCTGCTCACTCCAAGTATTCGTCTACAAAAATTGAGTTTATCAAGTTTTGACGCG